GGAAAGAAATATGCTCTGTGTTAATTGATTTTTACTTCATTTAATCCATTCTGCTCAAAGCTGGGGAACAGGGGTCATTGCACAGTACGTGGCTGTTGTTGCCTAAGTAAGGCTGAGGACTGAATTCAGTGAGTGGATTGTTGCAGGACTGTGGCAGTTCTGCAAATATCCAATATTAAAAGAACAGAGACTTTTAGAAGTTGTCTAAACCACCATCTTCAGTTTGAAGGTGGAGTTGTTCCCCTCTGGGAATTAAGGTGTCTCTTTGCTTGCGTGAGCTTTGCAGTTCTGAGGTTAGTCGCTTGCTGCAGCGCCTGTGGCAGGGGGAGGGTTTGTGGGTGGTTTTTCTTTTACAACTGCTCCTTTATATTGGTCCTCCTCATTGAGCGACTGCAATGTGAAGAGATTGGTTTCTTGATACTCGGCAATCACCTGATTCCTCCAGAAGCTTAGTCGTGTTTGTTTGTTCCTGGCTGTGAGCTGGTGTTGTACCACACAGTTCTGGTTCAGTTGCCAACACATTGCAGATGACTGTCCCTCGGTGGATTTGGAGGGACGTGGTTGTATAATAAATTCCTCTTGGTTTAGTTAGTGTTGTTGCAGATCAGCGTGCTGGTGTAACTGTTCACAGATTCTTTGACTTGTGCTGCTTGGCAGTTCCTCCTTGGGGAAAACCACGGTTGGTGGCACCTGAAGAGATCAGGTGTCGAAGGAGTAGAAAACAGAACAAAGTGCAGTTTGTGTAGTTGGCATTTTCTGGCTAAATTAGTCAAAGCTAAGGTGTAGGATGAGTCCTAAGTTTCTAGAGAATCACTTCTGAAGGACTGGACAGTTGGATTATTTTTTAAAATTTTTTTGGCCACAGTTATTTTTTGCTGGGAAAATGTTTGTGCTCTGTGGCCTTGTCAGACGGGGGTGAGCTGCTCTGCCTTTAATCAGGAGAAGCTGGGAACAGTTGTGTGGCAGTTAATGGGTTTTTACAAGATCAGAATCAGCTGCATGGCTGCCCTTGTCTTTGGTGTGATAAGCATTTAACTTGAGTTAAACCTTTAATCCAAGGTTTAGTTTTGTTTCATCTTTATAGACTTGTTGGGTGTGGCTTTTTTGACTTAGCTTCTCTTCTGTTAAAGCTTCTTCAGGTGGAGGTAGTGGGTCCTGCAGCAAGGTTCCAAGGAGTTGCTTATTCCTCTGTGTTTTAGCCCTGAATAATCCCCACTTTTGCTCAATGCTACATCCAAATGCTCCTATCTTAAACAAACGATGCTGTGAGCATCAAGCTAAAGCTTTTGGTGTCCTCAGGTCTGTGGAGAGGGGACTTATGATTAGAAACTCGTGTTTAACTAGAGGTAGGTGAGCCTTGACTTAGGGTCACAAAGCAAGACTCTAGTGCTCGCAGGCTTCCATGTCTGCAGCACTGTGTTTTGAAGAGCTGAGAGCAGCTTTTTAAGGTCAGAGGTAGCAAAATATCACTGGAATCCGTGACTAATTTTTCTGCTCTAATGCAATCAGCATGTTGTTGATGCAGCAATTTAAAGCTGGCTTAAAAAAAACCCTCCAAAAAACCTGCTAGGTTGGCCACTTAGGCCTTTTGTGGCAGGATGTCAGAGAGCTCAGTGCTGCTGTTTTGTGTGTCTACAGGTTGACCAGTCTGTGAGCTCTTCTAGTCCAGCTTTCTGTAAGGAAATTTGACTTTTCGGTAGTGGGGCAGCTCCAGCACTTGGCGAGGTGTGATCTGGCAGGCTGGTTCAGTGCTGCTGGATGGAAGAGGTTGTGGTTGGGCTTCTAGGAGGCTTTGCAAATGACTTGGCTCTCTGTTTGTCATATGATGTTCTTGGTAGTTCAAGTGTTGCAAGAGATGATAGAATGCCTTGAAGTGTGTTTTTTAGATTCCTTTAAGGCTTTTGCCCTAAACTGGGAGTGCTAGGACTTTGCAGGGCTTTGTATTACTATTAATTGTTCCTGTATGAGTAGAGCAGTGTGGTGAGGAAGAGCAGCCCTAAACTTCAAGTACTGAGAGAGTCATAACCTTGACTGGGGCTGGACCGTGGGGCTGGACCGTGGGGCTGGACCGTGGGGCTGGACCGTGGGGCTGGACCGCGTGGGCCGGGAGAGTGGGGGTGGACCGTGGGGCTGGACCGTGGGGCTGGACCGTAGGTCTGACTTGGCAGGTCATCTGCTTTGCTGCTTGAAGATGTTACTTGCTCTTCATTGTATTTCTCTCTGGAAAAAAAATAATCCTAAACTTCTGTGGAGTGATTCTCAGTGGGCTGCAGAGTCAGACCAAAGGTGGTCTGGCCCTGCAGTGACTGGTGGGATGCCTAGACAAGGGTGGAAGAATAGAAGAAACTCATGATAAACTCTTAGGCTCTTGGGTGGTATTTGTTCAGTGGTGATTCTATTCCTCCATAAACTTGTCAATTACTTTCTGAACCTGTGTGAACTCTTTTCCTGCACGATGACATGTGGGAATGAGCCTCACAGGATGTGTTGTGTGAAGAACTACTTCCTGCTGCTGGAACCTGTTCTTGAACTTTCTTTTCATTTGTGTCTTACAGGTAGTGAATAACTGTGACTTTCTTCTCTGCTTCATATTCTTTCTCCTTGGGTATCTTTGTGCTGTGGAGTTTCCTTAGAAAGTGTGTAAGGGGAAAAACTGTTACCCTTGTTCTCCCATGTTCTGTAACTCCTGTAATCTTCAAGTGGATGTAGACACTACTTAATTGAGCATAATAAGCACCATCTGTCCTGATGTTTAAAGATCATTTCCTCTTAGATGTAAAACAACTTTACAATGCAGTGCTGACAGACTCGATGTCAGAGGGCAGTTGTATGCTGGCTTGCAGGCTCACCTGTGACTGTGGGTGGAAACAAAACAAAACCTAGCTGTTTTGTCACCTCTCTGTACCGACATTTTTAAATAAGCGGGAGCTGCTTGCTTCAGTCTGGGAGGGAGGGGGACAAGGCAGGGGAACAGCTGTTTGCAGCCCCTGTTCCCTCACCAGCAGCAGAAGGGGATCTGTTGGTGCGGGCACTCCTCACCTCCCATCTTCCCAACGGGCTTTGTGTGAGCGTGTCAGCTGGAGATAAATCCTGTTTAAACACCTGAGCTGTGTCCAGATGAGGTTGGCACCTAGGTGGGGGCGGTGGACAGGAAACAAGTGGTGCATGGACACAGTGGGTGAGGACAAGGGAAGCTTTCGTATCGAAAAGAGCAGCAAGTAAAGGCAACAAGCTGCCTTTGTTCTGAAACCCTGTCTCTTGCTCTGAGACGGGGTAATGAGAAACGAGCCATGCAAAGCAGCACAAGGCGCTTCCCTCCTGCCCTTGGTAGAAGTGAAGGGGCACGTCTATGGGTCGGAGGAGTGCCAGCTTTCGCCAGGAGGAAGTGAAAGCAGCAAATCTGGCTGGGGGAGCTGCTGCAGAGCGCTCTGTGCTTCCTCCCCCTTTCAGTTATTGATGCACTTCTGCTGTATTACTGGTCAGGAAGAGCAAACAATAACAGCTTATCTGGGAACTTGTGTCTGCATGGTGTGAGGCTTTGTCTGGTGTGTTCTCCCTTCCCCTTTGCTGGTACTAGAACCCTTTTAGGTTTTCTAGAGTGCGCTTGCCGAAGCGATGTCCTTTGAGACCTTTTGCTGTTCTGCTCCCTGCTCTGCTTGCTGCAGCCCCTTGTCAAACTCATCCTTTGCTTTCTGTTACCTTCGGTGGTGCTGGGTCTGAATACCTCAGTGTTCTCAGGTGGTGGTGGCTTAGCCATGGAGTGTATTCGCTGAATAAATCCATGAGTTTATTCTTTTTTTTGTCTCCAACATTGAGCTCTTAAACCTGTGGAAGGTTTGGGAGATTACCAGACTGTTGCAGGCTAAGCCAGAATCTGTTAAGCTCAGGCTGACAAAGTGAGTCCGGATGATCGTATCCCAACTTCATGGCCTTGTTAACAGCTCTGCATTCCCCTGCTACCTCTTCCACTGTTGCCGTGATCATTTGTGCATCAGTTCGCATGAAAGCGTAAGCTCTTTGGGGCAGCTCTGTCTGCACAGGGCTCAGCAGGATGAGCCCCAATACAGAAGAGATGAAGAGGTCATTTCAGCCAGTGCCAGAGGGGAGGAAAGTCTGGCTGGGCATAGCCTAAGTTTGGTCTTTAGGCCTGTGGCCTTTGCATCCTGAAGCTGAACCACTGCTGCTGTCCCTATTTCTAGAGAGGTCTCCAAGCTGTCTGGTTGTGTTGAAATAGGTGTGTGGTCTTTCTAGACACAAAACAAGGCAGGCAATGTGAGGGGCAGTCAAGTGCAAAGTGAAAAATAAGATTTTTGCATTTTGCAGGGTCAAAAGTCTTCCTAAGTCTTTCCTAAGCAGAAAAGAGGCTTACGGATGTACTGGCTCAGCTGAGCAGATGTCACAGCTGTGGTCTGATGTGTGGTTTCACATGTTAAATCTTGGCTCTGTCAGTAGATTAATGTGATGATACTTGAGCTGATTAAGTGTGTCCCTTTATATGACAGCAGGCATGTTTTTCCAACTCCGGAGACCTCACAGAAGTCCGGCCCTCAAACACTCGCACCCCATAACCTGTCCAGTTTGATGCATGTACAAGAATGGTGCCTTGTTGCTGAGGTTAATCGGTTTGCAAAAGTGCTGTCTTGCTTTGAGACGTGCAGGTCACGTGTTTTTACAGAAATCTTGGGACAGCATGCATGTAGTGAGTGTCTCTAGACCATTAGAAGGGGATGCGTATGGTGTGACTCTAAGCAAGCGGCAGTTTTTCTACTTCAGTTTGACAGCAATCAGAGCCAAGGCCTTGCCCCTGAACAGTCGTGTTAGGGATGGTGGGCTTGGCCTGTATAATGAGCTGCTGTTAATAGCTGTGAGACAGTTACTTCCTTTCTGAACCTGAGCTTGCTGGCTGTGGGCAGATTTTTCAATTACAAGCAAGAAAAGACTTAAGGGTCAGTTGAAGAGCAAAAAAAAAAAAAAGTACTAACAACTAGAAATCTAGGTGCAAGGCAAATGTCACGATGGGATCGTTGATGACTGTAGGACACCATGCAGTTGCAATAAGAAAAACCACCTTCTAGAGTTTCTTGAAGTCTTGGTGTCATTCTGAACAGAACCTAAAAGGGGAAGCAAGAGAAGCTTTCTGATACTGGTATCCTGTTGAAGTATTGAACGAGCTCATGCTTCCCTCCCATTACGTCAAGGGCTGCGAGAATGCTGTTAAGATGATGATGCTTTCTCTGCCAAAGAATGCGAGTCTAATTCTTGCCGTGTTTTTATTTCCAGGTAGTGTGAAGTCATGGCTATCCTGTTCGCTGTTGTGGCAAGGGGCACGACCATCCTTGCCAAACATGCCTGGTGTGGAGGAAACTTCCTGGAGGTGACTGAGCAGATCCTGGCGAAAATACCATCTGAAAACAACAAACTGACCTATTCACATGGGAAGTGAGTAATGCTTCTCTTCTGGGTATGGGAGGAGAGACTGGTGAACATGCAGAAGGACAGGAATAAACAGAGTGTAGCCAAAGTCATATTAGGATGCGTTCATGTGCTGGTTGAATGTGCAGTCAGCTCAATAGCTACTTTTTTCCGCAAGAACTTTGCAGCATAACCGGGACTTTAATTTAGCTTAAGCAATAAGTACTAAGGGAGTTGATTAAAAAAAAAAATCAAGTTTTCTATTTTTGTACAACTCCAAAGTCAGTTGGAGGGTGCTCAGCTGTGGATGCCAAACTGTTGGAGTCTTTGGTATTTGGCTTGTGGAGTCTTTTTTGCTGGCTTTTCTGAGGCTTGAACATGGCTTTAGGTAAAAATGTCACCCTTCTCTGAGCACTAGTGGATCCTGGTTGCTTTAAGTCATGCTGGCAGATGTAGAGCCGTCCTGAGCTGCAACAAGTGTGATCTGTGGGATAGAAGGATTTTTTTCCCCAGCCCTTGGTCATTGTTGATAGAATGGAGGGATTAGATGTTATGTCACCTGAGTTTGTGCTGCCTTATTGCACATGTAAAGTAGCTAAGTCAGTGTGCTGGTCTGCAAACTAAAGAACGAACTGTGGAGAAAGCAAACGTAGAAGTGTTGGGCCCCAGTTCAGCTCTTTTTTGGAATTGGCAGTGTGGCTGGATTCTCAGTGTTGCCCAAACTGTTGTGTTAAAGCTGTTTTGGCTGCCTGAGGACTTAGGAGATCAGGACTGGATTAGGCTTCCTGCATCCCTCCCTGGCTTGGAGCACTAGGAGTCCCTGGGGCAGAGCTCTCAGAGGAGGCTGCCTGCCCTGTGGTCTAAAGTGCTTTGGATGCTGAATCTTTTTTTCTACTGTAATTTTAAGGGTACAGTAGTTTTCTTTTGTTTTAACTTTTGTCTTGAGTGCTGTTCAGCCAACTACAAAGTTGAGTGTTAGGAATGCCTTACTGCATTTTTATAGATGAAAACTTGAATTGTGGCAGAGATTGATTTGCTCTTTGCTGGGGAGCACTGAGGTAGTTAACTAATGCATCCATGCTAGCAAAGCATGCTGTGAGGTGTTCAGTTTTTTGCACATTACTGACTGTTTCCTTAATGAGGATTTAACAAATGTGGCAGGTCACTGCAGTTTGTGGTTGTTGGGCTTTGCATTGTGCTACTAAAACATACAGGTGTGACTCTGCAACTCTGGGTACTGAGCTTAGCATCAGAGCATTTCCTCTGCTAAAGTTAGTCTCTTCTGACAAGTCTTATATTGGGCTTTTTCTATGATTTGGGCAACCACCTCTCTGGTCAGAATCTGCCAACCCTGCTTTCTCTCTAGGAGAGGGGAAGGAAGAGTTCCTAGCCATCTGTTTGGGGGGGATTGAATACTTTAACACACACATGCTTGGAGCTAGTGACTTCTTCCTGCTGTTGAAAAGGGAGGTTTTTGGTTTGTAGGGATAGAGAATAGCCTTTTTTTTTTTTCCCCCTTGACCATGATAACTGGGCAAAATGTGAAAGCTGTGAAGCTGAGTGAGCACGAGGAGTTGTTCTTGTCTGTAGGGTTTCAGGGATCCTCCTGCCTTGCCAGGGTCCCAGCCTGTAGGCTAGAAAATTGCTGTGTTATCTGTTTGTCTAGGATAGTTTCTCCTCTTCTGAAACATGAAAAAACTTGAGTTTCTTTTAACTTTGTTTGAACTCCTTAAACTCATTTAATGAGTTCTTTTTGTTTTTCAAGAACAACTGTGTCTTTATATATGATCTCCAAGGAAAACCACGCCTCTAGCATCAGGAGTTCTTGGGATTATTCTGTCTCTGCTGTTAAGATTCTTCTAGAAGTCACTGGGGAGCCTACAAGGTAGTACTGGACCAGCTTTAGCTCTCCTTCTAGGAAGGAGAAGCAATAGTTGCAGATATGCAAGGATTTTTTTCCTTATGAGAACAGACTTTCAGGGCAGTAAACTATACTTCCAGCTCACCCCTAAAGCTTATTTCAGTGTTGTCTTATTTGTTCAATACAAAATGTGATTTTTGAAAGCTGCTGAGCTGTGCCCTTAGAGCTGTACAAAGCAACTGCTGTGCAGCATGTGCATTGACTTGCTGTTATTCCAGAGTTTGTAAGAGGGTCCATGTGCTTTCCAGGGAAACTCTTGGGAATCCCCAAATGTCAGAGTAAAAGGATACAGAGAGGTTTTAATTGGGGGGGGGAGGAGGAAGTATTTGTGTGGCCTTTTTCGAACTCTATTCCTATTTTCTTCTGCTGTACTTGACAGAAGAATCCATCATCTACTGGAGCATGTAATAAAAAAGCCACAGCTAAAGCCAGTGAGTTGAGCTAGAACGCTCTGATTGATTGGTCCTGGTTTGGGTTTAGTTGTGTGCGAACTAAGGGTTTGGGGTTTTTTCTGGTGGGCCTAAAATTACCGCTTGGTTTAATTTTGATAGGCAAATATTGCTTTGAACTGTTTTGCACCATTTCTTAGGATAGAGGCTTGCATTTAACTACATCTGTGTTCACTCAGCACCACCAAAGGCATCTTTAAACCTAGACACATGATTCAAGCCTGTTGAGCCTGTTTATTGTTCTATCTAATTCATTTTCTGCTGTGGTTGCTTTTATCTATTAGCCATTGTGATGAAAACCAAAGGCAGCACAACCTGGTGGTCGTACAAATAAGGCTAAAGAAGCCAGTTGCTGTACCAGCGAGGTTCACCAAGGCGTTATCTTTCTGGTCACTTCAATTAACTGCAGCTCCTGTCATGTGTGAACTAGCTCGTGGATGCTTGTGTGCACGTCTGTGAGGATTAGACAAATCTTACCCCCGACTACCCTGTCAAGGTTTTGTTTTTAGGAGTAAGTAGCTGGAAGAACGTGGAACTGAAGTTATTTGGCAACTAGATGTCCCCCAAAGTTATTGCTAAGCACAGAGTGCTGTGAAGCATGGGAGGCCAGTGATAACACTTAAGTGGTTTCTAATTCAGTGTAGGTTAAAGGAATGGAGATACTTACCTCAACGAAGATGGCTGCAATCTGTTGGCATTGCTGTGACTTCCTGTAGAGTAACTGGAATTTGCTCTTCTACTTCTTCAGCCCTTGGAGGCCCTGCAGGCAGTAGTGTTTTCTAGAAGCTTCTGTGGTAGCTCCAAATGACCTTTTTTCTTTTTTTCTTCTCTGCAGTTATTTGTTTCATTACATCTGCCAAGACAGGATTATATACCTCTGCATCACAGATGATGTAAGTATTTTGGTTACAGCTATTGTTTTTTGCAGGTTTTGGCTTTTTTTGTATCTGTAGGTCAAAGAAAGTCAATGGTGGGTGCCAATCTGATGTGGGTTTTTTTGTTTTTTTTTTCCTGTTGGAGCTACTGCTTGTGTTCTCATTCACATCAGTTACAGCTTTGAAATCTAAGCCTGGAACTCAAATGCATGTCAAGAGTTAGTTTTGCCTAGTTTCTCTCTTAGCAGCCCCAGTGCAGTAGAATGTACATGTAGAGATGTGCCTTTAATAGTCAGTGAAATGTGTAATACTCCTCAATTCTGGAAGTGTTGAAGCAAAATTTTCTCCCTCACTGGAAAAAGGTATCGGGCACAGAATCAGAACTAGGGGATACCCGAGTAAAGTCCACTGCCGACCACTGTCCAGGAAACTGAGACTGAAATCTGGCTGCTACCCAAGCCGCAGCATAACCAGTGAAATCCCGTAGCATTGTGTGCAGCATGCCTGTTAAGAACTGATAACTTCTGTACAACTGGCTCTGTGCCCTGTACGCTTCGTTATTCCTGACTTGATGCAGCTCTGGACGTGGTCTGCTCTCTTCCTTCCAGGACTTTGAACGATCCAGAGCCTTCAACTTCCTGAATGAAATCAAGAAGAGGTTTCAGACCACATATGGCTCAAGAGCACAGACAGCCCTTCCCTATGCAATGAACAGCGAGTTCTCAAGTGTCTTAGCTGCGCAGCTGGTGAGCTCTGGTGCTAAATGGGCTTTTCCTAACAAGGCAAACTTCTCCCCAGAAAGTCTCCTTGTATTTTCTCACTCAGAACTGAAGTGCCATGCTGAGTCTGGGTATGAAGCTAGGGGAGTTGGCTGTTCTCCCCATGCTTACCCTGCAGCTGGGTCACTTCACTACTTGGTGGTAAAAGTGGGGTTAATAGCGATGCATTGTTTGTACCAGGTAGCTGTGCTGGAGATTAGATCATAATGGTAACACTTGAAATGTCCAACCTAGTTCCAGTTGACCCTTCAGTGCAAGCTAACGTTGCTGTCACTAAGAGCAGGACAAACATATGTTGCTCCATTTCTATTAAACTGAACTTCAGAACTTGAGTATCTAGTAATCCCCAACTGCCTCTTGCTTCTCTCCTCCTTACTTCATGGTAACTTCAGTGGCACGCTGCTGGAGTGTGACAGGGTATTTGCTTGTGGTACTGCATCCTTTTTAGGAGGAAGGAAAACTGGGCTTGGATTACACTCAAGTGCTGTACCCAGAACTACAGGAGACTCTCCAGCTAGCTTGCTCAGAGGATCCAAGGATTTCCATTCCCAAGATGGGTAGGAGGGTAAAGAGCAGGATAAATGACTTGTGGAAGGTCCCACATCCTCTGAGCTGAGATTTGCCTTGGACCCTTCCAACCCCAGAATCACAGGTGTGAGAATATTACAGAAGTGAGGACAGTATCTGTTTCACCCTCAACTTGTACTTTTTGGCTGAGGCTGCAGTGGTGGTCAGGATGATGCTGGGTTCTGCAGGCACTGTAGTCTTTGCCAGGTGAGTTGCTCCACCAGTATGATCCCGGTCTGGGAGATGAAGCCCATGTCAGTGGGGTCTGTGTGGCGCTGAACAACAGCTGCCTGTGGTGTAAGGTACCTTCTGCCCGCTGCTTCAGGCGTTACCAGATAGTGGCACAGGTTGGTGTCCTGCTGGGATTGCAGTGGCACCCTCTCCTGCGGTGGGACGGGCACAGTCTGTCCTAGTTTTCCTGCTGGAACTGCACAGCACCGCTGTCCTGGTGTGTTCCAGCTTGCGCTGTCTGATTTTATTGGCACTGTGGGCAGCTCGACTGAAGCTGAGTTCTGAACGCTGTCGCTAGGGCACGTACAGAACACTGTCAGTCTCCTTTATAAGAAGTTTCCAGGCTTCAGAAGACTCTATTCTAGCTACCCTGAGTGTGTTCTTGGACTCCTGCAGGGAAAGGCTGGGCTGGAATCTGCTTCCCTCTTGAGGTGCAGAGGAGTTATGTGCCTATTTTGCTCACTGAGGAATCTGATCCAGCCTTGCTGCTGCCATCCCACTTTCACAGAAGTGCTTTGCTTGCTGTGTGTTACACTTGAGGTGTGGCAAAGCCCACGGCTGCCAGACAGGAGAGGTTGGAAATAGTTGAATTGCTTTGTGTATTTTATTTGTAGCGGTATACAGCTGTAGCTTCTGAAATATTTAAGTGCACAGCATAGTGTTTGTTTGCATTTCCATTCAGCCCCCTATAGAATGAGATGTATTTGGCAGAGCTCTTTTTCTTAATGCAGTGTTGACTTGATGTGTAATGTGGGTCTGCAAACACCACCTTGACCTGCTTCAGTGGGGTTTTTGTGGGGGAGAGGAGGAGAAAAGGCAGAGAGCAGTTGCTGTAGGTGTGGGATTGGGCTGCTCTTAAAATAGGAGCTGTTAATGTAGTGGGGATGTTGCAGTTCACACTTGCCCTGTTTTGGTCTGCAGTGGGATACTTCAGCACCTGCAGGGAAAACAGGCCTGTTGCTAGATGTAATCTCAAATGAATGAAGTCAGATGGAAAATAGAGAAGGAATAAATAACTGCCCTGTGACTCATATGATCAATAGCCTTATTAGTGCACAAAACCTCAGGCTATATGGTCTACAAGGAAAGTGTTCTGAATCCTCTGTTAAAGACTTGAGTCCTTAATTGACTACAAACAAGGTCATAAACTGAGCAATGTTGGTTTGGGTTTGGTGGTGTTTTGGGGGTTTTTCTGAGACCTCCCTTGAATTAAAGATAAGATGTCCTTGGAATATTGGCTTTCAGAGCTTGTGTGCGGTCTGTATCTGGGGCAGCGACAACTGGTACAGTACACGTGGTGTAGGAGATTCGACTTGAGTCCTTAATTGACTACAAACAAGGTCATAAACTGAGCAATGTTGGTTTGGGTTTGGTGGTGTTTTGGGGGTTTTTCTGAGACCTCCCTTGAATTAAAGATAAGATGTCCTTGGAATATTGGCTTTCAGAGCTTGTGTGCGGTCTGTATCTGGGGCAGCGACAACTGGTACAGTACACGTGGTGTAGGAGATTCTCAATGTGCCCTCCTGTGGCTGGTGAGTGTGTTAG